TTTACACCATTCAAACAGAATGCTCATGGGCAGCTGTTGGGTTTGGCCGTGCTTCGGGAATTACCCACAGAACAAAGCCTGATATCTTACTTCACTTTATCCAAGTTGACCTCACACTTGCAGGTCTGGGGTGGAGAGAACAGAGCAAGGTGGAGGGGGCGGTCAGCTCCTCTTCAACAGGGATGCTGCTCGCCGTTCTTCTGGAAAGAAGTCAAGGCTAATCGTATTTGTCATTCCGTGGCGCTCCTCTATGCTGTGTCTGAAGCCTTGGCTCGATTTCCAACACAATCTGGGATGATCGGGTCCACAACGTCCAGTTGCCAGAAACAAAGGCGCCCGGCGTCACTCCAAAGAACACCTGGCTCATCGCCAGTGGCCACCCTCATCTCGCTAACGAGAAATTTTCTGCCTGGTCATTAATCCAATTTGGATCTCAGCCGCCGAACCGATGGTGATCAGTACATGTTAGGCGCTCTGGTCACGTCTTCGATCAAGCACGGAGGCATTCATTACAATGAGGTGGCCTTGTGTCGTCCTGGCACGCCTCGAGCATACTTTGGTCGTGCCCCGCACACCTGACACGCCAGCGTCCATTGCGGTTATCTATACACCAACAGCCAAGGCGCCTGTCTCCGGCCGTCACATGACATGCTGTGAGTTTTCAAGTCATGAGGGGTTCATACTTTGTCGCAACATGTGGTTCAATTATTCCTGGCTTCTCCACGGGCAGTGAATAATTCCCTCATCGTAGCTGCGATCAGGTGTTGGACAACGGATTCTACCGATCGCCCACTGCAGGCGCCAACGACCACTATGGCAGCCAAGCTGCAGCTGAAACGACATGGCACCTTTCCACCCAAGTACAGAAACGGAATAACTTGCCTGTAACTGTTTTTCGCGAAGGGCCACTATGGGCTGGGCGGGCGCTGGCATATCTTGAGCCAGCGCTGCCTCAAGTATCGCCAGATACGGCCCCCCATTCTGGTTTCTTTCACGCCTGCACCTTCCCTCAGGGCAGGCCCTGGAAACGCAAGGAGGGGCCAATGACTTTGGCGCTCTTGCACAAGTAAAACATTGGCCACAATACATTGTCTCGACCCGTGTAAAAATCGTGTATAACCGCGTCAAACGTGTAAAATCATGTATACTCACTCAATCGTTACTACACGGGTTGATCCCATTTCCTACGATAAATACACCATTTAACACGATTTTTTCATGATTTTCAGTCGCACGGTACACGATTTCAAAACCGTGTAGTTTGGCCTGTGCTTTCACTAGTGCTGGGTTGGATTGAAGGAGAACGGATATGAGGGAATCCTCAATTGGCAGGCGCCAGCACAACATGCGCCCAGGTGATGACCAGATCCCCACACCGGTTCACGTGTTGCTGTACCTGTTCTTCAACTGCGTTTGCAAACCAACTGGCACAAAAACCACTTCTTTCCGTTCACATTAGCGCACTTTCTCAACTGCTCCATGTTCACCTGTCTATGGATCGCGCCACATTACCACCTGCCTCCAGCGCTTATGGCAATCCGCCATCATCCTTGCATGCTGCACAGCAAAGAGACAATCATACGCGATCCTGCAGTGATCATCATGCGGCGTCACCCATAATTCTCCCAATCTTTCGCATTTCGCTGCATTCTATTCGCACCATTCCACACAATGAGCTGTGCGTCTGACACGGAGATATATGGCTGGCAACCAGACTTGAGCGTTTCATCCACAGCAACGTTGGAAATCTTGACGCACTGCCAAAGGCTTGAAGACAACTGGACCGGGAATCGAGCTGAAACCACGCATCCAAAGAAGTACATATTGCACGGTCATGCATGAGAAACATCATACACAACGATACACTCTGCTCAGAATCGGAACATCAGAGCGTCAGGTGTTCTTGGCCCAGGATACCACACGCAACCCTTACATATTCTCGCCTGTTTTCCACTGACTCGCCACGGCAAGCGCATTTCCTCCCATCATATTTGCAGCGCGAGTTTTCAACATTCTCACCTCCTGAGCTCCTTTCCGCCTTCCCAACTTTCCTAAAATCTCGGCAACGCAGCGACCAACCTCCCAGCCCCGCCCGAACGCAGCCCTGCGGTTCTACACATTTGTACGACATGCAATCGATGGATTTGATGATGATCAATTCAATCCACCCCAATGCGCGCTTCCACCATCTTTCAGCATTTTCAGCTTTTCCCTGCCGCAATTCGGTCGCCTGCCCCCAATTTCTGCTCCAGCACCGATCCGATCGGCTGTGCCTGGGCGCGGGGCGACCGCAGCCTCCCCACCGCGCACACAACCGTGTCGCAACAGCCAAAGGCACCCCGTCCTTCCCCACCCTTCTCCAAGCGAGCCCCGGGCACTGCAGCACGCGCCAGAACCCCGCTCGGCCCTTTGTGCGAATCCGACCGACCATGGCCTCCGGGCGGCCCAAGCGCAACATCACAGCGCCGAAACGCTTCTGCGACGCGGAGGAGGGCTACGTGCTGTCCCAGAGCCGCGATGGCGCGGGCTGGCGCAAGGTCTACCATGTGCTGGCCGAGGAGGACATGGCGCTGGACCTCCGCGGCCGCCAGCTGTATGTCCTGTGGCCTGGAGACGACTTGTGGTACGAGGCCAGGCTGGAGAGGGTGGGCAAGCGCGAGCGCGCGGTGAAGATCACGTATGTTGGCACGGAGGAGGTGGAGGATGCGGATCTGGGGGAGCTAGTGAGCGCACGGCAGCTGGCGGTGGTCGACCTGCGACCGCCTGGGGTGGGGATGGGAGAGAAGGACGTGCCTGAGGGCGGGTTGCCCATGGCGACAATCGACAAGGCAGGCCACGGCGGGGAGGGGGCCGCGCAGGCATCCCATGACGCCGGCGGGGAGGGGGAGGCGGGGGCCGGGAAGCGGGGCAGGGGGGAAAAAGGCGGGGGTGATTTGGATCCCGGAGGCGGGAGGGAGGCGAAGAAGGCGAGGCAGGAGGGGGAGGGCGGGGGGCAGGGGGACGCGCAGGCGCAGGCGGAGGAGGCGGCGGCGATGGAAGACTTCAGCAGGAACCTGCTGGCGTCGCTGGTGGGCAGGCGCTCGGGCAGCGAAGGTGGGTGATCGCCGTGTCGCGGGGGGCGTCGCGGGGGGTGTCGCGGGGGGTGGCGAGGCCTGTTCTGGGAGGCGGTTGCATCCTGGGGTTGGGGTAGGGTGTGTGGGGGGTGGGTGGGGGGTGGCCTGCATGAGAACTGGACTGGACGGATCGTCGAGCGCATTGTGCGCAAGAGAGTCACAAGTGTTGGCGACGGTGCCTGAAGCGCCGACACCATGTTTGTTTATCTGTGCTGCGGGGAGCTAACGGATCTGGTAGGACTGGGCGGCATGCATCCCTGTTTGCGCAGCCATTTTCGCCCGCTTGTGTTTTTCGTAATCAAGGTAGGTTGGATGCAGCCAAACTGTGAGGTATTCTCGCACTTCCGCAGCCGCGTTCGACCACTTTTTGGTTTCATGGTGGTGTCCTGAACTCCGGTCGCTCCTGCAGCACTGTGCAGTGCTGCTGTGGTGTCTCAATGGTCCAGCAGAGTGGCGTTCGGAACATTCGTTTGTTGTCAGCCAGCCCTGATCACTGTTATTGTGCTGGGGTGTTTCCAGGTCAGGCCGAGGCAGCCTCTGCCACAACGAACCCAGGCTCACAATCCCAATCTTCAGATGGAGTACGAGAAAAAATAGCAAGCCAGCTTGCAAATGCCCTTGCAGTTGGTGTGCGCGAACTGTCAGAGCAGGCTGACTCCTCAGAAGTCCACGATCCACAAGAGGTTGCCACTGCAGTGGAAACGGAGCTGTACAATCAATACGGTGGTGTGGGGAAGGAATACAAGCAGAAGTTCCGCAGCCTGCATTTCAATCTCACAGACGCCAAAAACCCTGACCTCCGGGCACAGGTTGTGATGGGGAAGATTGCTCCTGACGTGTTGGTGCGCATGGGGCCCAATGAGCTGGCTTCCAGTGAACTCAACAAATGGTGAGGCTTGATCACAAGCTATGTCTCAGTGTTGTTCAACGTGTTTGACACCAAATACCACCAATGGCAACCTGTCAAGCTGCCAGATCTCCCATGCATCCGCCTGATAGACAACAAGCAAGCACAGTGGTTGCTGCACACCCAGTTTTTCTCCTGACTGCCCATGCCTGTGATGTCCGTCACAAACCACACCACAGGCGCTGCCTGCAGGCATCTTGTGTTCAGCATCGCTTCGAGTGCACTGGGCATTTCAAGATATGGTCCTCATTGCATGCTTCCCTACTGCCAATGCACACTGCTTCTGGGTCTGTTTTGGCAACTTGAGTAGCTGGAGAATGGGTGATAGCTTGTGACCAACCATGCACCCATGGTACTTTGAAGCTCTGTCGCATCCCAAGGCTGTGTTGAGCAGGTAGTGCAGTCGCAGCACTGATAGTTGGCTGTGCCCCTTGCAGGCGCTCACAGAAGGCACAGGAGTTTCTGAAGTCAGCTGTCCTTGATGGGGAGACAGCAGCCGCATTCTCAACCGCAGCTGCGATGAAGCTGGGGCGGCCCAACGGGAAGGACTCTCGGCCAGCAACACCTGAGTGGGCTGGTCCTCTTGATGTGAGTAAAAGCAGCTTCTTCAGCCAGTGCACACATTTAACGAGAGTTGCACTTGTTTACAGTAATCCATCGGGGGTCTATGTTTATGTTCTGGTCGTTTGAGGACTTGACTAAGCCATCGGTTCTTGTGCATGTAACCAGACAAGCCTGCACAGGGCCTGCTTGCTTCTCAAGCCACAGCACATGATTCATGCTGGCTCCACTTGCCTTGATGCCATCCTTGGCGGTTGTCTGTTGCCACAATCCTGCATGATAAGCACTGGCAAGTCAAAAAAGCACTTTCCTTGTGCTTTTTGTAGACTGCGCTTGACGGTGTGGTTGCAACATACGCAATTACCTGTGTGGCGATGAAAAGCATTGTGTAACATGTGTCTCACAGTTTATTGTCCCAAATTCTCCATATTCACCCTGGCCTTAACAAGAGCCTGGGATTGGTTGCAGTTTGAGCTGTTGCTGCCTTGTTCACAAGCTTGTAATTGCCTCTCTGCTTCCCTAGTTTGACGTGGTGGAGTTGAAAGAAAACGCAAATGTCAAGTTCGTGTTTCCCAGGTGTCGCCGGAGCAGCGCACAGCATCAAGCAGATTGGTTGGTCGTGCATTGGGCGCGATGGACACCCTCCCCACAACCAGCACATCTGCAGGCATCCCCCGGACAAAGTCAGTGGGTTCTGAAGGGGGGCAGGATGCGCACGATGCCAACGTACCTCCCAGCCCACCGCTGACGCCCTTGCATGCTGACGATGGCTACATGAAAGATTTCGCAGGATTGCCTGGTGCTGAAGGTCCAGCCTACGATCCTGGGTATTCGTCGCCAGGGGCATCAGGCCTGGGCCCCTCCCATGAGCTGCCGTTGGATGGCGCCAACCCGGAAGAGGCAGCATTGCCTGACTGGGCTATGGCAGAGTGGGAGGGAGATCGAAGCGCGGCCTCAGGCGCAGCGGCAGCTGGCGACGGAGGCACTGGCAGCACAGCAGTAGAGGCATCAAGAGTGGGCGCTCCGCCCTCATTTGGCGCCACAACAGAATACTCCCCCACCTTGCCCCAGGCCCCGCCGTCTTACAGCCCAAACAGGCTCTCCGACTCTGCGCTCGATGAAGTACCTGGATTGCAGGACATGGCGCCATTGGTGCAGATGCCAGCCGAGCCTGGCGCGGCAGTGGCAGTTGGGGCGCATGTTTGGCAGGGCAGGTTCTGTGGGCCTGGGATGATGCCCTTCAAGATGAAGTGTGAGTCCCTTGCTGGAGTGGCGGACCTGTCGAAGATGTTCTTTGGCATTGAGGAGGTTGAGATCAAGGGGCGTGTGGGGTCAGACAAGGTGGAGACCTTCTTGGAGCAGCTCCGCGGATCCCAGAGCCGCACTGTAACTCTGGGCTTGCTGAAGCTGGCCGATGACGCAGGGCTCATGGACCAAACTGGCGTCAACGAGTTGATAAAGCATTACTCAAGGAGGGGCCGAGTGGGGGTTGTTGCACCAGGGCCCCAACTTGAGGGCTATCTGGTGGCCAAGAGCGACTTGGCAGCAAGGCTCTTGATGACAGCAAGGGAGGTTGTGGAACAGGAGCAAAGGGGCAGCGTGCCAGACAACGCCAGCCCAAGTGGCGAGCTGTTGTTGGTGATGATTCACAAAAGGAGCTGGGCGCCTCCTGTTAACAACATGCAGAGAGGCGGTGATGGGAGCGCAGGTGCAGCTGGAAGGGCAGAATCCGAGCAGGTTCCAACATTGGCCAACACGGATGCTGCAGATGACACCGAATGGTAAGTAGTGTGCTGATGGTTTTCTGCAGTCCGATGTACAGAATGAAGACAGGCACTCCATGCAAAGGTGGTTTTGGGCACATCATGTTGTGCATCCACCCAAAGCCCAGTCAAGAAAGTGCCAAACTCCAAGCTTGCATTGGAAGGGTAGTCACCAGGGACCGAAAGGCCGTGCCTGTGTGGGAGTTCAATGGAAGTCCTTCGTTGAGACTGATCAAAAAAGCCCATCTTTGAGTAGGTCACTGGCACTATAGCATCTCACCCAACTCGTTTTTCTCCTCATGAGATAATGGATGCCCATGCTGGTCGCCTGTGCCAAGAGCTGTGCACATATCTGGCCTTTTGGACTATGAAGGCTGGGATCCAGAGGATCAATGTTGTGGAACATAGTGACCTTTGTAAGCTTAGTAGGCATCTAGACATGATATGTAAAAGTTAAAGTATGAAGTCCACAGATTGATGCATGCCAGTGGAACTGCCAGTTTGCATGTTCCCAAAGTCCTTCGGTCGATACGCAGTTGCATCATACCTAGTGATCAGCATTTGAATCAGTTCTGTTGTTTGGTGCTATTGTGCTGAGGTCTGCACTGGGAAGAAGGAACAGCTGAGCCAATGAAATGCAGTGCTGCATCATGAGATTGATGATTCGCAGCGTTTATCAAAGATGTGTTACCTGCCCATTGACAGTGACAGGGCTTCCTGATGTAGCGCTTCGAAATGGGCAGGGCATATCTGGTGAGCAGATATCATCCCTCGTTTCAAAGACTGGCAGGACGTGCGAAACGGAAAGGTTGCTGTAGCAGTTGCCTGAGACCTGCTGTGGCTGTGCACAGGATGGATGTTTCCAATGACCCTCCTGAAACATCTGATGCGGGCCTGCACCAGAGAGGTCCTGTGGCCGTGCCACCTTTCGCACACAGCACTACAGTGCAGAGCAGGCAGCCTACGGATCCGAGGAGGCCGCAAGAAGCACCAGCAGAGGCTTGGACACACGTTCAGCCCAATGGAGGCTCATTGCCACATGTCTCAGAACAGATGACCGACCAGATGGGAATGCCATTGAACACCGAAGAAGAGAAAATGCAGATAGATGAGGAACAGCCTCCACAGGAGGCGTCGCTTCAGACAAAGCTTCCCCAGGGCCTGAATTTGAAAGGCATCAGTGAGCTGGCGGCTCTGTTTGGAATTCCACCAGCGGCCTCGGGGCCACCATCTGGAGCGCCACAACCACCAGCCTCAATGCCACCGCAGGATTTCACAGGGCCTTCCAGGCCGGGCTTCTTGCCGCAGACGAACCCTGGAGGAGTTGTGGTGCAGAATGTTGCGCAGGCTGCAGGGGGATTCGTGGGCCCAGCGGGCATGCAAGTCGCGAGCGGCCCTCTGCAGATGGGTGATGTTGTCCCGGGACAACTGCAGTCTGCAGCTGGGGAAATGGCTGCCCCGCCGTCACAGGACGCCCCCGCACAGCGCTTGGGACCCGCTGGTGTGCAGGGAGCGCCCTTTCAGTCTCCCACAATGGGGACTGGGCCCCTGGGCGATGGCATGCAGCAGCTCAACATCAACGGAACGCCTGGTAGTCTAGGCCCCCTGCAGGGTGACCTGCCTGGTGTCCCCCAGGGCGAGGACGGCCCACAAGTCAAATGGCAGGACTTGGGACAGCTGGCTGCGGGCTGGAAGCATGCCCCCGAGGGTGGAGTCAGCCTGCCCATGCCCCTGACGTCCTCAGAGATGGCGCCCACAGGGTTCCCTCAAGCGGGTGGCGGCATTCCGCAGATCATCCAGGTTCAAGGCCCCAGGCCCACCTTCGTGGTCATCCAAGATCAGCTCTTGCAGAAAGACCCCGTGCTTCGCACGCAGCTGCCCGTCGCCCCGTTCGCTGCACCCACGCATTCCGACTCCCAGGGCAGGCATCCAGGCCTTCATGGCCTGCCAGGGGTTGGGGCAGGCTCGGTGCTCCAGCCGCAGGGCCCGCAGTTGGGCCTTGCCAGCCAGGGGCGCCCTGGAGCAGGAGAGACTGAGCATGTGCTCGTCAACTCCAAGGGGGTGCCAATAATCGTCAAGCCGAAGAAGCCTGGCAGGGCGCCACCGGGACGGGACGTGGACGTGGACGGCGAGAGGGATCCTTATCTTCCTCTACCCGGGGCCCCCCCCGTGACCCCAAGCCCCCCCGGCCCCTTGGGGCCCATGAGGAGGGAGGCGCCTCCAGGGCCGTATCAGCGGATTGCCGACGCGCAGACGGTGCCTGCTGGCAACGTGATCGAACCCATCCTGGGACGCATCCAGAGGCCGGCGGCGAGCCAGGGGCGCGGGTCCGGGAGCGGTCGCCGCAGAGGCGGTCGCGGGTGGTCCAGTGGCGGCGGCCAGTACAGGTCCAAGAGGCGCGACGCGCCGTCGTGATCCTCGGGGCTGCAAGCTGCCCTCATGTCGACAAGCTCCGGCCGAGAGGGTGCCAAATGGGTGCCGGATTGCGCCAGTTGAACGGGCCCCGTCGTGCAACCGCCGTGGTCGTTGGCGTGCAGGCGATGGTGGGGTGGAAGTGTATCCGTGGACTGCCATGGTAGAAAGGACAAGAACGATATCTGTGCGCTGCTGTTCTCACAGTCGCCATGCCCCTGGATCCCCGTTGTGCTGGCGGTTGCCGAGGTTGCAGAGTTGAGCTCATTTGGCGCGAGTGGCAGGGATGGCATTGCTTTGTGGGGATGAAATAGTGTAGCTGTGCGATATGAACTTGCGCTTTGTATGTGATGCTCCTTGGGTTGTAATCTCATGAAGGGGGCCTCTCTGGGGGCCGTGTGTTTTGTCCATGGTTTCTTGTTGCCAGGACAGCGAACACCTGTGACGGCGCGGGCATTGGCGCTGACAGGACATTCATGTACATTTCCGCCTGGACGGGCTCCTTGTCCCACCCAGGTCCACACACACACACTGGACCAATACATTACAAGGACCCTACTGTTTGTCCCAACAACCCGAGGTACCCACAAGTTGTGTGCCCGGTCGCTTGGCTAGTAGTTCAGCCAGTCCCATACGTGACTCAACCGTGAGTCAGCCCCACACTCCTTGCTCCTTCGTACTTAACTCCCACACTTTCCCCAAAGAAACCGACATCACCCTAATAGGGAGGGCGGGGCGGGAAGCGAAACAAGATGGAGTGGGGACCGAGGGGCGAGCCCAAATAGCCTCCCCCGCTCGTGCCCGCCAAAGCCCGTCAGTCTCAAGGGCGTCAAAAACCCCTGGCCCTCCTTGAACGTGACAATCCGGCCACTGACCCAAGGTACATGGGGACAGAAACCCCGGGGCCAACAAAAACCACCATATTTAAGCAGCGCTGGTCCAACCGGAGCCAGCGCGCCCGCCCCACGTCGCCCTCGGCGGAAACCCATTAACAATGTAGTTGAACAATATAGCTTCTGTTCGTGACGCCACATAATGACCACCGTTTCCACTGGGTGGATCACTTCTGTAATTGGTGTATGCGCTGTATGCGCTGCATAGGATGTCCCGAGTACGCCACTATCGCTGAATTTGAAAAACAACAAAATTGGAAGAAAAGAAAGAAAAAACGCTCTGAAAATGGGTTATGAGCACGCTGCTGCAAACCTAGGAGTGAGTGTAAAGGAGGTGGAGAGCTTAGGAGACAAGGGCTGGTCATGAAATGCCACCATGTGTGCCCAACAGATCCGTGTCACCAGTCAGCTCCACAGACTGACTGGATTTAAAGATGATTCTGGGAGGTCCTGGAGTTCAAGGGGCCATGCTGTGCGGGTAAGTTGGGATGAGCCCAGCTAGCACATCCTTGGTCTGAAAAAGAACATCTGGGCTGCCTGACCTAGAGAGGAAAGGCGTATAGTCCAGTAATTCACATGAAAAAATGGGGTTTCATGTGATATGTAAGGTTACGTTGTTAAACTTTATCTAGTGTTCCATAATGACAGCGCTGGCCGTTTTCCCCAAGGCGACACGGGATCGGCCTTATGGCGGCGTTGGTTTCTGGTGCATTACTAAGGGCAGCGCCCAGGGCCATCGCAGCCATTGCCAGCACCCAGAGGTGGTGGCATGGCACGCGTTTGAGCCTTACGTTATGCTGGCCCTTTGACAGCTTTTTGATGGGTCGGCAGCATGGAGCCGCGGGGGCAAACCGCTGGAACGAGCCGCGGGGGCGAACCGCAAGTGTGAACCGCGTCAGCGAGTTGTGGTGTGCAATGCGATAGTGTGATGAAGTGTGATAGGTGTCATTTTGCTGTGATGGCATCACTGTGCTGTGCTGCGGGGCCAGCAGCACCGTTGCTGCGCCATCGCGATGGCAAAACCGGCGAGTGAGAGTTGGTGGGGTTACATCACGCGAAGAGGGCGCTGGGTACCAGTTTGATAAGCCGGCAGTACAAAGAACGCGTGTGAGCATGGGTCACATTGTGATAGGGTGCGGTGTACGGCCAATTGGTGTGGTGTAGGGTTGGAATAGAATGGGAGGAGGTGTGAAAGTGATCAGGGAAAGTGGCAGCGTGTAATTTGTGTATCAGGTCATATGTACTTAGAAAAGTAATGCGGAAGTGAGTTTCATGATAGGTGGGTGATGCCAATGGGAAAAGTGATGAGAGAGTGGGTAGCTGCGATTGGAATTAAGAGTGGGGCGCTCTGAAATCCTCTGTGGAATGCAGAACCTAGGGAATGTCCTCTCACTCGGGGATTTGGGTGAGCTGGGCTATAAAACCGGACGTCCCAGTCAGTTGGGCAGCCTGGTCTAGTGGCAGTCCCCCAGAGCACTTGAGCAAGCGGAGAAAGCAAGTATACCGACCTGGATTGAGGACTGGGACGTTGGGTGACTATTGGAGAAGCTGACCGGGCGTATAGTGGATTTGAAAGAGGTCTGAAAGGGACAGAAGCTGGGAAGAGTTGGAACTGAAGTGTGGCTGTGCTTGGTTGAGTCTGGATTGAAGGTACAAGGATTTCTGTGAAGTTGGGGATAGACAAGTGAATTTTGGATCAAGTTTAGGGATTGTTTACTGCTGTTTATTTTGTGCTTCTGTCTGTGTGCTTGAGAGAAATTGTGCAATTCACTGTTTGTTGACCTTCAATCACGATCAGCAAGTGTGTTGATTGATTACTGGCACTGAATCTCAATTTAGAAGCGTCTACTCTGGGCGGCAGTGTGCTGCAATCCGAATTGGAAAAAAGCGATCTAAGTGACCCCTGAATCAAAGTAAGCTGTCTTAGTTGACCTATTCAGTGAAGTGTGAAGCACATCAGCTTGAAGTGTGTGAATCAAATGCGGATAGCCAGAAAATACTGACCGGTTGAGAAAGAGAAAATCAGGGCAGTTATCTATTGGCCGAAATGGCGATCACGAGGGGTGCCCTTCAACAACGTTCAAGCAGAAGTCTTGAAATGCACTTACACACAGAAGTCTGACATGGCAGGTGTGCTGGCGCTGTGGGATTTTAGAGACCAGGCACGGTGTCAGTCCTTGTGTTATGCAAGGCTATTTGTAGTTCTCTCACTAAAAATCCTACATGCACTAAAAGTCATGGGCCAGGATGGCCATTACAAGTTCATCACACGACTAGGTGAGGGAGTGAGAGTCAGAAGTAGGTTTACTCCCTCACCCTATGTGCTGACAGTACGTTTTGCTCTTCCCCCATGGTTGGCTGTGCAAGTCATACTGATTTGGGGCAAAATTATTTTGTTATTGTGAACAAAATGGCAATGGTTTGACCTAGTGAAAGAAAGGGAACATGTGAGAGGTTGATGTTTGCTTTGAAAAGACAAATCCACCGGATTGTGCATGGTCCTGTGAAAGGACCGACAGCCCGTCCATTGTGTTCTTAATGAGGAGGGCTGACTACTCTTGTCAGACCCTCAAAAAGGGCTATTTTGTCTGTAAAGTGGTTCTGTGTGACACCACTTTCTTCTCTACATTTTGCACAGCTGCCAATGTGCTATAAAAGGACCCCCCACAGATCAGGCTCGTTCCCTTGACGTCCATGTGAAACGGGGGTGGGGTGGCCATGTGCTGTGTGGGGTGTGCGCGGGTGCAAGGGCGCGTTTTCTATGGTTTCGTGAAAGCACCTGTTAACGATCTGATTTGATAGCACCGAGGCCCTCAAATCCGTAGAATGTCAGGCAGTGTACCGAGTGCTTTTTAAGTGTGTCTGATTTCAACGGGTTTGGGGTGGTCATGGCACATTTTGGGACAAGTTACATTGATTAAATTGACAGGTGCTGAATTCCACAGGCCATAGTGCTCGGTCGAATCTCCGGATGTGCGCCTCAGTGGAAGATGAAATGATGTAAGGGCTCTGCCTGCTAATGCATGGGGACCGTCCGGTAGTACACAACAGCCGTGGAGGGCCAAGTGTCCATGGTCGCAACATCCAACCCCCGTGATGGCGCAACGACCATTCCACATGCCGATGGTCGCCATGGGAACCACGCATAAACCCCCTCCCATATTCATGGGCAGCTGACCCATCTCGGCATCCTCAGCTCCACATTCTTTTGGCAATGTGTAGGACGATCAAGAGGTCCCCCCTTGCGCGGATTGGCTCCTCACGAAACGCCGCTTGTCACAATGATGATGATCAACAGAAGCAACGACAGCAAGGGGAAGCTTCAAACGGGTAGCAAACGTCCCACCGCCAGCCAGACGTGCAAATACACTTGTAGAAGCTCTCACAGCTGCCGCTCAAAGCGCCTCAACCGGTCGCAACTGCTTTTCAACCGTCCGCGAAGCCAAGGCGCAGGTCAGTTCCACATGTCAGGGCTGTCTTGTCCACAGCACGTTGGTGTATGACACTGAAAACGCCTCTCTCCTCCTCGGCAAGGCTGTGCAGCGACGTGGCTTGGCAAGTTCTGTCCGGCAGGTAGACCACACTCGCGGTGCTGTTCTCGAACGCAGGGAAACGACTTTAAGAAACGGCCCAGATCTGGTCTGGCCGTCTTGACTGGCCGTGACTCTCGAAAAGGTCGAGCGCTATTGCGCTCAGGCCATGGCGCAAGTGGCGCACACAGCCAGGGGACTCAGGCAGCCAGGCCGCATACCTAGACCGCCACGCGAGGCACAGAGAGACCACGCAGTCGTTGTTACAGATGCCATGCTGAAGACAAAAATGCATCGTCCCCTTCGGCGCTCTTCGCGCTCTCCCTACTAATATCCGTCTAGGGCATCCAACAATTCCCACAATACACCCTTCGTGGGAAAGCATCGTTTGATTCCCCAGAATATTCCCGTCACACCACCGCACCACCGCAATTCAACCTGGTACACCCCGCGTCACTCGGTCAACAGCCACAGAATGCCCCGCGGGTCATATTCCCATCACCGAGCCATGTGGCACCTCCACGTGCCCCCCTGGTTCCGTCTCGTCGTGCTCCACGGACAGATCGCGAAGGGGGCACCCCCCCCACCCCCCCACCCACCCCCACCCCCACCCACACACACACACACACACACACCACACCACACCACCTCCATTATAACCGGGGTTCCCGTTCATAAAGTACACTGGTCGGTCAAATCGGGGCCAAAACAACGTCCATTGGTACACTTTCTTAACAAACGCCTCTCGAAAACTTGTAATTAAAATGGGAATGACACAGTCATGTTGCAGAATTGAATTGCAGCTGATTGATGCATTCAAATCCAATTTCAGATGAACCTTTACAGCACTAATTTACTGAATGCATGCACGTCTGCTTTATGATTTTTGGTTAGCCCCGGCTTACTATGCACCAACCTGTTGAGTAATGGTCATATTAGTGAAGGTGCTGGGGCTGTCGACATTCGCTCTCCTTACTTCTGGACCTCAAGGGTCGCCCACTGAATAGTATCATTAGGGTACTATGCTTCATGATGAACCCCGTTATTGGCGACGCGAACACCGGATATGTGTTTGGATTGGCGTGGGGACGGAGGCCACTGACTGGACTTTATGTATGATTTATGTGGGCCTTACGTTATTACGAAGTGGCCATTTGGCAAGGACATCTCTGAGATGGTGGTGGGCGGCGCTGGTGACCGTTGTGTGGCACAACAGGCCCACAACGTGGCATTCTGACCGGTCAGTGGTTGTGAGTGTTTGACATGGAATATTCTGGCGATTTGACAGGCATCTTTAGACTCTCTGGCCCCCCCGGTCCGCGTATTTGAGCTGACGGCGCGGGGGAAGGCGTGTCTTGCCGCTTGTTTGTGTTTGGGAGTCGGAACAGCTGTTGTACTTCGAGCTTCCAAGTGCAAGGCCGTTGGGCCGCTTTTGGAGAGGTTTTTCAGTCGCCTTGGGTCCCCGAAAGGTGTGCCCTCTCTCTGAATATGCGCGCAGCCCGTGTTGTGGTCGGTGCTGCAAGGGGCAAGCCTTCAGCACCCTTCGTTTCGCGTGCTTGTCGTTTACACCGACGGGGCCTTGCTTCAACTCCCAAATGGCAGTGTTGTTTATCTTTCCACCCATTGAACGTTCGCAGCCTTGCGAGGAGTGGTGTTTGCTTTGTGACGTTACTGGCTGTGTGGGCACGTGAGTTCCACATCAGAAAAGCACCAAAGGCGGCGCAGGGTGTCGGGCGAGGCGCACCCGTTTTCCCGAACCAGCTGCGTTGGTGTTGACAGTACCATGGGCCGGTAGACCTGGTTGGACGTGAAATCACACGTCCCAGTGTGCGGTAAACGTGCACAAAACGCCGAGAAGGTGTGTGCCCGATTGCAAACTTGCATATAAACTCGCTGACATGCCGAGGAGGCGCGTCGTGTGGAGCCCTGTTGCGTTGTTTTACTCGCAGTGCTGTGCAAGTGTTCACGAGTCTGAGTGTACAGCTGTGAGGCTGTTGACCATCAGCTCGCAACTTTTTACGTGTTGTGAGGATAGTGCAGTAGGCTCACAGCACTGAGAAAGTGCTCAGAGGTGTCTCGCCGTGAAAGCGATCACAGGAAAGCGGTGGAAACGTATTTGTAAGCAGTGCTGTGAAAACTTTGCTGTGATAATGCACTCCCAGCCGTTCCACCGTATTCTGAGTGAGATACTAGCCTCATAAGTATCGAAACACCACTCAAAAGGATCAAATGAGGCCACCAGGCCATTTTTGACGATATGGTGGGCCTTCGCGATCATTTCCACAAAAAGGGTTGGAACAAACTGTCGCTGAGCACCCACGCCCCTGCAGGTTGTACAGCGTGAGCTTCTGCTGCGCCCATTTGCCGCTGGGTGAAGAGCCCGCATGCGCTCTGCCCTATGTACTCATGTACGCTGGACTGGAGATCCACAATCAGCGACTCGCCTGGGTGCAACAGGCACATGTGTCCACGGTGCGAGTGTAGCACTGCAGAGCTGAACGCTGCACACAGCCCTGTCAAACACGGTCAGCATCAACTATTGCTCTTCTGGAGCCTCGACTGCCAGACTGTGGGTACATCTAATCGGCACTCCGCGTTGTTCCCCAGATGATTTGCATCACGTACAGACCATAGCATACCACGGCGCATCAAGAGCGGTAGCCAAACATCGAAGTACGTTCTGCTAGTCTGTCTGGAGAACCCCCGTGGACGTGGCTTGCAAACCGCTGCTGCACAAGTCGCTCGGTAGCGGCTGGCCAGCACACTTGGCTACTTGGCCTGCTTTCAACGCCAACAGGTCACCAACCGGAGTAGATAATACTACACCAAGAACACGGTGACTTGCCACTCACTGCAACAGCTGGCAATGTTGGCAACAGTTGTTGTTGCCAAAATTCTCCGTTTCTTTACGCCCTTTGAGGGTCCCACATCATCATCTAATGTGATCTAATGTGTGGACAGGAGCCCCCAAGCCTTGTTGAGGTGGGGATCCCAATTGTATAACTCCTTCTTGTTTGAACAGCCATCAGTGCACCCACACACATGCAGAAGATAGCAAGTCCAAGACTTTCTTCCAGGTGTTCCCACGCCGATTCACAATTACAAGGCCCAACCTGCATGGCCACATGAGCGCATACATGGACGCGGGATGCACTCAAGGGATGCCACATGTCGGCAGCCAAACCTTGCTATGGTGGAGGATACTTTGGCACGCCATGAGGCGGATACTTTGTTCTGAAGAGCCTGCTGGCATGCTCCCGCTCCTTCAAGACGATTATTCCCCCCCATGTCACTTCAAACCAACAGAGGGTGCTGGGGTACCGGCCTGTTGTTGTGCTCTTTCACAGTAGTATGTTCTTAAACAGGAGCGCAGTGTTCCATGGGAAGTTCCATGTGTTCATTGTTGTCCCTACTTGGCTCCAGCTCAGTGCACTTTACAGCCACACAGCTGCAGAAACCTCACTCCAATCCCATCGGAATTCCAGCTAATGGTGCCCACACGCCATGTCACAGGCAGCTGTGGCCGCAGCCTTCAATTATCCGCCCCTGTTTTGCCTAAAGAATCCAAGCCAAACCCACAATCATCCATGCAAAGGCACAGCCCTAGTGGGCAGGTACCACCTTCAGCCCTGGCTGGGGCTTCCCAGCCCAAGAAACATAGTCCTGCCCAATTCCACTGTATGATCCCCAGATAACATACGAATTCCTTTCATGCCCCATATCATTGCACCCATATCTGCCTCAAAGCCGCCACACCTCCTGGCAGCTGCCTTTTGAGGACTTGGCCAATCCATTAAATTGCACACACCTGAGTGAGGCGGCGTTGACAAGAACGCGCACACCATCTTATGTGTCGAATTGAATATTTATGCAAGCAGCTGGACACTGCCGTGCGCACTTGCGATGGCCAACCCACAAGGCACCTTATCAAACAGCAGCATCCCTCCCAGCTGTGTCTAAAATCCAGTTTCCCCTGCATGAGGTTATTCTAAACTGCCACAATCCTCCAAGCATCCAACATTAAATACTGCGCTCGGATGATTGAAGAAAGTTATGCAGATAACCCCAATCATACACAGCGGTCACTACCTATGTGCCAGGCTCAGGGCGCACATGCCCAGCCTATATGACAGACCTGGGACGCTGCTGCCCATCCTCCACAACCTCAGAACTGCGGGATATGAACTCAGCGGAGTGAACTGAGGCCAGGTCGTTGGCAGATGGACGGCGACTTGGAGTCAGCCTGAGCTGACTAACGGACACAGCAATGCTTTGCTGCCTCTCAGGGCTAGGCGCCATCTTGTTGTGGCGCCACCACCCCAACCCAGATGCATGGTCCAAGTCCTTCCGCGTGATGATCCCTGCGACCTCATTGTGATCGTTCACGACGCACAGGTGACGAAGCCCTAGCGACGTGAACACCTCATAAGCCCGTGCTGCACAGCACTCCTGCCGCACTGTGAGCGGCGCCCTGTTCATGTACGGCCGCAGGTCCATGTACAAGTTCCCTGCCAGGGCTTCGCCAAGGGGTGCCAACTGAGCAAAAGGGGAGAGAAAGAAGCTGCTTGATGCAATCGTTGCTGCTGGGACGGGCGACTCCAAGAAGCTCCCATTACCTCCCTGTTCTTCTGTAGCAGCCCTCGGGGTGAGGAGGCCATGTACCCAGTCCAGCTCAAGAGCATCCACCTGTGAGACAGAGCAGCCATATCAGATGTCTACGTTTGCAGCAGTCCATGACAGTGGTAGGTGAGCGCCACTGCTAACTGCCAACGACCATCGAACAGCCCAACTGCAGCAGCACAAAAGCCTCAATGACCACCCCACAACAATACAGCACAACATTACAGACCATCCTAGGGTGACTGCTATACATCAACAGAGGCGTGCAATGCCAATTCAAGTATCTGAAGATACAAGTGCGCCACTACAATTTGCTGTGAAGCATGGGAACACAGACCATCTGTGGCACAAGTGCTCTCCTACCATCTTATCTGTGGTTGCCATAAATCTGTGGTGCGTGTGCTGCAAGGAATAAAAATGCCTCATTTCTGCGTCGATTGCTTCCTCATCCACTGTCGTCGCAGGCTTGCCAGTTGAGCTGCAGAATACTCTTCTCCTCAACAGGACAAGCAGCTGGCTCCTGAGTATCAGACCCTCCAGCCTGCCAGCTCTTCTATCACTCTGCGTATCCTTTTCAACAACCGGGAAGCCGTTATGTGTGGTGTCCCTAAGCACTGTGAGTACGTGGCTGACCTTCTCAATTGTCCTGGCAAAATGACAGCACAAAGGTCAAATTGGCACTCTCGTTGATCAGCACCTGGCCAACATGCTTAAGCTGGGGACAAAGTCAAGCATAGCACCTATAGTGCAGCACACAACAAGAGAGTTGTTGCTGGGATTCCACTGGTCACTCAACTCCGTCACAGTTTTGTGGGCCCCTTGCTGATCTTGTTTCTTGCACTGCCTAGAAGATTCGCATGGCAAATTGGCCCCAGTGGAAGCCAACAACAGAGATTGCCTCAAACAGGTTCTTGCACTGCCTAGAAGATTCGCATGGCAAATTGGCCCCAGTGGAAGCCAACAACAGAGATTGCCTCAAACAGGAACAATGAACACCGAGGTCTTCAAGAACGGTTCACATGACTGCTGCCCACATCGTTGCCAATTGATCAGGGCTTTAGCCCAAGGCTGTACTGGGGGGAGGGCCCCTGAAAGCTCGACCTGATTTCGGGATACCTGAGAGTTTGCACATTGGCCACCATGACTGTCTCTGCTGTCTTGAAGAAGAGGGCTCTTGGGGGCTCTGGCTTCAGGAAGTGCACATTGCCGGCACGCTCAACTTCACTTTCGTATATCCCATCATGGTGGACATGGTGCGCTACCCAGTTGGACACCACGACTGCCAACACGACGCCAAACAGGTAGTCAATGTTTCGGGTGCCCTCGATGACAATCACCACCAGTGATATGGACGACCGGAAGACTGAGGCGAGTGAGCCAGTGGCACCCAGCAGGGCATAGAAGCCAGGTTGGATCTTGAGGTAGCCAAAAAAATGAGCAGCAAGAGTGCCCATCAGCCGGCCATAAAGCGCGCCACTCATTCCTCCCACCATGATAGCTGGCAAGAAGAGCCCCCCTGGAATGGCGATTCCAGCGCCAAGGCTCATCACAATTAGATAGAATGGGACGAAAATAGCCAGGCTCTCGATGGTAAAGTGGCTGTTGTAGAACTCGACTGTCTTCTCATGACTTTTGTGCATATCCTGTTGCTCATAATTCGAGCCAAGGCTGAACAGCCGCTTCACGGTGACCTCTGGACTGGCCATGAATGCTGATGCCAGGTCATTGTGCTGGCCCTTCTCACAATTGAACTGCAGGTATGCGTGTTCCTCCTCCCAGCTCTTGTCCAGTATTTTGCGGCATCGCCCCCACACTCCAGAAACAACAAACATGATAACCACTGTTATCAGTGCAACAGCCATTGCCTCTGCCATGCGAAGCATGTGCCTTTTAGCTGGTGCACGAAACCGCCACAGGTTGACCCTCAGCGAGTTGAAAGCCACCCCAATGAGCCCCGCAATAATACTTATCCCAAGAATGAATGGTGTCTGCCGCAGCCAGTCGCCCTCCTCCAGGTCCGCTCCCTTCTCAAAGGACAGCATACCGACCTTGCCTGTGGTGCATGCAACAGACCTCTCGCCAGGGCTGCAACGTGGGCCAACAAACGCATGCACGATGTTGATGCTGCAGACAGCCGCAACACAACACAGGAAGCACCGCCAGGCAACCTTCTTAGACCAGTAAGTAGCTGCCTCTTCCATTGCAAACAGCACCCCTCCAATCGGGGCCCCAAAAGCAGCTGCTATCCCAGATCCAGCACCAGCAGACAGCAGGTCGCGCCGGTCCAGGTCTGTATACAGCTCCATCACGAAGTTGCTGAACTTCGACCAGGTCCGTAAGAACAGGTCGGTTTCCATTACTTGGGTCTCTGTGAGAAACGATGTTTGCTCCCTGTTCGGTCGCATGGGCTCAGCAGATATGTACAGCTTCGCCGGTTTGGTCCGATGATGCTTGCAGCATGACATGGGGTAGGTCATCGCCGATGTAATAGCCGCTCCAATGTGCACCATGGGCCCTTCAGGTCCCAAGAATAGATTGGCCGACAGGGCACAAATTGTGCCCACAAATTTCGTGATAAGCGTGGGCAAACGAAACAAATTAGGCACATGTGAGCCATTGAGGTAGGCCATGACCAGGGATACCCCTGCACCAGCGGCTTCTGGTGCCCAAAATTGCACCATGAAAACCGCCAACAAGATGAGCCCCACACTGTAAAAGGTGTGAAACGCCACAGCAGCCATCAGTCCCTGGTTCGATGTGAGGTCGCAGAGGGACATGACAACCCTGTTCTTCCATGCTATCATGTTCTTTGACATGGTTGATATGGCGATGGCTGTCAGCCCGATGAGCACACCAGCCACAATCGTTATGACGAATTTCACAAACGTCCTCCCCGTGTAGCCATAAAAGCGCCTCTCCTTTTCCCCTTCCTTCGACAATCGATTGAGAAGAACAGTGTTCTGCACAGTTTCAAAATCAAGCGACTCTGTAGCTTTCCCTCCTGGGGGAAGCTCCCCCTCTCTAGGCGTTGCTGAGCAGCGTCCAGGCAAGAGTCTTGTTGCTGGGTACTCACTCGGCCTTTCTTTCCAGCTGCCTGGGACACTCCCTTCTGAAGGATGGATGCCCCCTAGCAAAGGGACATTCAATGATGCCGAATCCTCTGTGGGAGACCCCAGGCTGCTTGTAAGGATCCGTTCTGGGCGCTGAGGGGCCCTTCCCTTGCTCCCCGACCAAGTTCTGATGCTGCGCAACTGGGGCCCTGTTCTATGCCTCGCTTCAGAACAGCCTTGCCAATTTGCAAACTGAGGCGCACTGCTGTTTGGGCAGTCTGTTACTGTTGCCGGCCCTGACTCCCGCGTGCGGCTGCCATCCGCATAGCGTGGACTGAAGTACCGGCTGTCTGGTATGAATGGGGGCTTCTGCAAACTTTCCTCCAAGCATTGGTCCAGTCCCTCGTAAACGGGCACATTAGGCCCTACTCCACCTGAAACACAGTGAAACACGTGTCAGAAGCTTCTCCACATGTGCTTCACTAATGTCCTTATTGCTGGGAAAAGGATATGAGCAAGAAATCAACATTTTGCCATGGGTGACAAAGGTGAGATAACACGCAGGCAAATCAGAATATGTAGTTTGGGCTGGAAGCTGGCAGGTACACAAGGGCCTGAGCGATGGCAACTGATTCAGAATCCTGTCCACCACAGCAAAGGGACCATCAGCAAATTCAGAAATGCTGCAGGCTCCTCTGGAAGCTGAGATTCCTCACCCATTTGGCCACGATATGTGAATGTATGCAGCCGACGACAAAGAAAAGCTAACAGCCAACAACCATGTCACAAAGTCATTCCCCTCCCAACACTGGGGAAAGCATATTCCTTTTCTTCGCCATGCTGGGAAGACAGATACAAAGCAACACCATCAAGGCGCGCAAGGTGTCCACCATCGCGTCCACCTGAAGTGCCGGTGAATCTGCTGACCAGTGCCTTAGAATGTACTGGCGCCTTGTCACTGCAGGTTACCACAATATAATGCAGGGCAATACAGCGGACACACCTATTCACCCGCATTTTCGGACATCAGAATAGGGCGTTCCAAGCCCCATCCCTTCGCTGGAGAGCTGTGGGAGAGAGTGGCGAGCTGCGGCACACGCGCTGAGTCGGCTGCGCACTGAAAAGCTCGTGTCCGCCTGCCTAGGATTCTCACGATTTTCATATTGTCGGACTGCCGTGGCCCGCGGACCGGACACATAGGACGGCCGCGGGTGACGACGCGGTGCCGGCGGCGCGGCGCAGACCCCCCGCAGGACAGCGGGGCCCTTGCGCCCCTTCAGAGCGCCTCTCAACACGCTTCGGCCTTCGCCTTCCCACCCCAGGGCCGGCGTTTTCCCTCGCACACCACCGTACCCAAGCCACCCGCGAGTTCCGAAACAAGCGCCCCACACCTGCTGCATCCATCCCAAGCGCCTCCGACACGCGCCCGAGACCCCCCTGATCGACCCCTGCCGCCTTGCCGCTCGGCGCGGGTAGCCCCGCAACCGACAGCACCTCCTCCCCCGCCCCATCCCTCAAGTCCGACGCCGTGGGCGGCATCCTCGCCTCTTCCCCCTGCGCCGCCCAATCTCCTCCGCCGCCCTCCTCGCGGCCGGCCTCCCTCCGCAGCACCCCCTTCGCCCCGCGCCCACCGGTCGGCCCTCCCAGCACGCCGGCGTGTGACCAATCCAGGGTCGGAATGCGCCCAGATTCTGCCTGTCAGCCGTCCCAGAAGAGTGCCCTTAACGGGCGCCTGGCGGCCTGTTTCGGCGACTGACGCCCCCTTGAAGCCCCGGCGGGTGGCAGCGGGCCCACCTTTGCCAAAAGGCGGGCCACCGTCACAATCGGGCCTGAAAGGTGCGCATCTGCCATAATAAGAGACGTCAGGGCGTGTCGGTCACGGTGACCCGACAACCTGCCACCGTAATCCCAATGAGCGACGCGGAAAACGTGGCCCCTGATGCGACGCATGGCGGCACGTCACGTGTCTTTTGGGCGACGCGCCGCGCAGTTTGGCAACAGCGAATTGCCATGGCGTCAATCAAGGTGGGCAGCGGCAAGAAGTACATGAGAAGGGGGGTAAAAGGGTGCGCCGACGTCGCGGGGCTTCTGGTCCGGAATGCGTGACAGAATTTGATCACGAGCCGGGTGGGCACTCCAGCCGTTCCAGGTGGGCATGGCTGTTTGCGGCAGGCACCGGCCGAACCAGGCGACGGCTTCGCTGAAGGCATCGTTTCTGGTGGATGGGATCCTGCCCCCGAATCACACAAGGGACGAGTTGATGGGTGGCCCACGGGTTTGCAGCCCAGCTCTGGCGCATTCGCAGCCCTGTGCTTGAAACTGGCCATTCTGGGCTTTGGCTACCAAGGGTCACTTTGTGTCCCTTTGGGCAGAATGGACGGCGCCAATGCTTCGGGTGCCCCACTCTCGATCCCTCCGCAATGTAAGCACACGCAATACGCTGTCCAACGCGATAGAAGGTCAACACAGTGGCCCGTGCAAGCTGGGCGCGCCGTGCGTCCTCAGCCTAGGCGTCAGCAAACTTCAGGGGCTTCCCCCGCCCTCCAAAAGGGTGCCAAAATTGGTAAGATTACTGTGCCGCTAGAGCTGCAGCGCCGCCCTTTCAGACACTTTGGGATCCCCTAGTGCATTCCCCAATCAAGGTGAAAACATTTACTGGTGAAATACATCACAATCTGGCAAAATTGTGCAGTACTCAGCCGCACAGAGCTGTATGTACCTCACCTTAATTTACTCCTTCAGGGCAAGACTATCATCCACCTCAGTCAGAAGTTCATTAATTACGTCACCATCCCCACCGCGAGCTGCCACCTGGCCGCTTTCCACCATCAGCTGGTCCCTTGGGAGACCAGCAGGACCGGCCAATTCTGCTATTGACTGACGCATTGACTTATGCATTCTGTCATTTCTCTTGCGTCATCAGAGGGAAATCAGATCGATTGAGATTTTGGACTTTTCTGCTGCATCCAACCAGCCTTCCACTCATGACACAACGCACAATACGGTTCCGCTCTGATTCTCTTTGTTTCCTACACTGTTGGACATAGCATTCTACAATCAAGAAAAGTAAACCAATTTGCTGACGCGCCCCAGCACTAACTTCTCCTTGATGGTTGCAAGGATAGCCCATTTCTCCACATATTTTTGCACTGCGCCACATGGCGACCCAATAACTGACCAGTCCCTCCGCAGGCAAGGAAGCAAGGCCTTTCCTGAAGATGCGGGCTCTTTGGGGCAGGGGTACCTCTCAGCTGCCCTAGAAAATGGGTTTCAAATATTTTTGACCCCAGCTGTGGTGTCATAGTCATCCACTGTAAAAATTGCGGTCCCTAGACGTAGAAAGCGAATGGACACAAGATTTACAACGACACATAAATCTGACAGCATATCGATGATAAAACACATAGCAAAATGAGGTCGATTGTGGCGAGGATACAGTGCAACGGACAAACGCGAATGCGAGACGTCACAGAAGGTTTAATGAAATATCACAGGATTGCTTGATTTAACTGGTTGGCGTGAGGACAATTTACTGCCACAAGCAGTGAAAACTCGACACCAGCGATGAAAACCATAGCTGCATGGCCACTCCGTAATTTCGAAATGCGCCCTTCTGAACGTTCCCAGTTTTCCGAAAATGCAGCGGCACTACGCTAAACAATACGCTTCGGTGGCTCGTTTAATCATCTGTGCATCAAATTTAGCAAAGTATGTGGGCCTTTAGAACCACTCTAGGCGGTTAGCGGACGTTCCCAGAGAAGCTATAAGGCAGCTCAGAGACGAGTTGGTTGTGCTCCATTCTGGTATTTTTATTCACTTTTAGTCCAGCCCAAATGCCGTAGTTCGCTTTTCTCCAGAACTGAAATTCTGTACGGCGTGGAGGAAATAATAGGATCTAGCGTGATCACAAATGGTGACAGCCCTTGAAGAACTGTTGGGATTTCCCCAACGGGGGTGCGAGGCAGCGGGCTGCATGGCCATGCTGCCCATTAGTGTTCTCCTCGCCAGGACAGCACCCACTGGAAACGCTTTGCGCTCCAACGAAAACAGGGGCCTAAAGTGAGGCGCCTGGCACCAGTGGCGGGTGGGTGTCATTCAGGAGACCAGCCATCTCGGTCAGGATGCCCTCCACGGAGTGAACCCATAGGTCGCTGGGAAGTCTTGTGATTTGTTCGGGTAGCCAATTAATGGGGCTCATCAAGAAGGTTAGTAAGATAATGATATCACACAGCTGGCGACCCGCGAGGTCCAGATTTGGTGCAGAGGGGATGCCGACAGCCTCAACACCTTCGCCATACTGAAAATCATCCAGTAGGTTGGCGCTCAATGAGGCAGAAACCCCAAAATATCAATCAGGGGTGCTCTGTACATACCCTGAATACGCCTGGGAGTACTGAGGGACACCCAGGTTGCCACTGGACACGTGCGTTTGTTCAGGGGCAGCCCGCCTGGCGGACAGCCGTGAATCGTGGCGAGACGGATCCAGGAGTGGTGCGTTGAGGCGCCACGTGGTTGTTTGATGGGAATATGCTCAGTGGGGCATAACGTGGTTGCTGACCGCAGGAAGTGTGGTTGCTTGGTGGCAATGTGGCCCTTGGGGCACACGTGGCGGCTGATTGTGGCCAGTGGGGCGTCCTGGGTTGAGTTGCGGTGAAGCGGCGGGCGTGTCAGAAAGATTCTGGGTATCAAAAGAGCATCTCTTAGGAATGGGTGGTATTGTGCCGGAGGGGTGCTGACACCGCCGTGGGGAACTCTGTATTGTCGCACTCGGCCTGGCAGCTGCAAGAGCGGTTGTGCGGCGTTCATGTGTGTCTCTCGCGGCAGCCCAGGCACTCAGCCTGGCTGCCTGACTCCCCTGGCCGTGTGCGCAACGTTCGCCACGGCCTGAGCGCAATAGCGCTCGACCTTTTCAAAGGTCGCGGCCAGTCTGTGCCTTAAAGGCTCAGAAAAGTTTTCTGAGCCGCTTTCCTTGCCGCTCAAGACCAGCAGTGCCGGCGCGGTTTTGCTGCAGAAGTGAGCACCCTTCGTCGCTGCACAGCCTTGTCGAGGCGGAGAGAAGTGCTTCCCGTATCATACGCCGACGTGCTGTGGACGAGGCAGCCCTGACCCGCGGACCCGACCTCCGTTTTGACTTCGTCGACTATTGAGGAGCGGTTGCGACCGATTGCGGCGCTCAGAGCGGCAGCTGTGAGAGGTTCTACAAGCGCATTTGCATGGCTGGCTGGCAGTTGGAGGTTTCGCTACCCGTTTGAAGCTTGCCCTTGCTGTCGCCGCTGCTATCTCGGGCCGTTGGCATCGTCGCGACAAGCAATTCTTTATCAAGAGCCGGTTTGCGCGAGGGGCAAAACTTGTTCGTTGAGTGCACCCTCAACTGTTGTGGTGCTGAGGCTATCGACATGGCTCAGCTGCCGTTTGAGGGTGGTGTTACTGCGCTATCTCCG